ACTTCTAGAAGGGATATTAAATTTTTATTGCAAATTAAAGATATTCTTACCTCTAATTTCTTCAATTTCCGCGCAAATTCTATCACATGTTTCACACAGACGGAATTTTGATTTGCCATGTACCTGTAAAATTGATTAATTATTGCAATTAGTGTTTCAACTTCTTCTATCAATCTACGGATACTATAAATATAAGGGACACTTAAGTTATCATGCATAATTAAACTGTTAATATGATTTTTGAATGTCCAACTAGGTGGATGTCATTCTGAGCCATGGTTTAAGGGCAAGAAAAGTAGACTCCCATTTTTAAGAATTGTTGTTGTTGTTGTTACTAATCCTTCATGACCTAACAACAGCTAGATCTGGTCCATGAGTCCATGTATTCTAGAAAAGTCAATCACAAGAAGTGGAGAGGATTTTAGGCCTTCCAAACCTAGACTCAGGCAGTCCAATGGCATAAAAACTCATGGAGAAGGGATCGAGCAGCTTCTTTTAATCTAAGAGACCGGAGCACCCGAAGGGAGAAGTTGTTGTTACTAATCCTTTGAGATTTGTCAAACAGAAATGAAAAGAAAAATTGATTTGAAATAAATATATAAAAAAAGCTGGCAACGAAAATGGAAAAAATAAAGGTGAGAAACAAACACAAATAAAAAAACCCACTGAACCTGAAAGAGAAAAAATATCAAGAAAAGCAGCGCAAGAAGAATCACAGTTCATCTTTTTTGTCTCACGTTATCTGTGGTTTTTCTAGTTTTGTTTCTCACCTTTATTTTTTCCATTTTCAATGGCAGCTTTACGTTTGTTATGTCAAATCTAATTTTTTTTAGACTCACGCCTAGCAAATCTTGAAATCGGCTCCGGGTATATTATTACTATTTTATTTCATTTTACTCTTTGTAAATTTTCTGAGCCCTTTTTTTAATTGATGAATTAATGGTAGCAAAACAAAATACAAATCAAAGTTAAACACCCAAAACAGCAAATTCCTACAATTTTCTTGAATATACAGAGAGAACTTAGCATGTAGTTGAAAGTAAAAAATAAAAATTTTCATAATATTTGCATAATTTTCCTTTTTCAACTCATTTAGGAAAATATTCTGCAAAATAGAATGCCGTTTATAGAATTTATCCTTCATTCATACACCCTTTCATAATTTTTAAAGTCTACTCGAATTATTGGCATTCATCGGGGGTGGCTGTTCATAAACCAGAACCCATTCCATTTTTACAGAAATATTGTTGTAAAAAATAAAAATAAGCTGTTTATTATACTAGGAAATTAAAATTAAATAATTAAAGTAATTTAAAAAGGATACAATTTGTTTAGAAATTCACTTAAAGAATTAAACGAATGTAGTATAAAAGTGTCATACATCGAAACTATTCCACCTAGTAGCTTTAGGAATAGCTTATCATAGTTAATTCTTACCTTAAAAATAAATCAGAGTTAATTCTGAAAACAAACAAAAAATAAATTATAAAAAATAATGTTCAAAGTTGTTTAAAATATTTTTGAAATGCAATTGAAGAAATGAACTAGGAAAATGGATATTAATTAAATCTGTTTTAAATTTATCAGTTTCTTTTGAAAACTCCTCATAGTTAGAATAATTTCTATAAAACCTATGAATTTGGTAGGTAATAATATTGGAAAATAACTTATTGGCAAATTAAGAATTAAAATCAATGCTTTTTTTAAATGGAAAGTTAAAACAATTTCTTTGTCATAAAATTTACTTGTAATTTCACTATCTTCATTAATATTAAGAGTTTTTTTTTTTTTCCAATGAGCTGCACAATCGGTCTTGCCGATAAGCAGACCTAGTGCGTTCTCCAGAGGTGGTATCCACTCTTTCAGGACCACCACAATGGGTGAGATACCGTTGGTCATGTTAATTTGGACGTCTAGTTTCTGCCACACTAGATGGCAGCACCGAGACTCTATTTGGATGCTAAAGTGCACTAGGAATTTAATTTTGCCGGAAATGCCAAGAGCCAATAAGGCACTCCAGGGATCTTTTACATGCCGCATAATCATACGACATGGCCGCTGAGGATTTTTTGCTTCCCGAAAATCCGGTGTCTGGGCCGGGGATCGAACCCGCAGACTTGGGCTCAGAAGGCTTATTAAGAGTTAAATCTAAAAAAGTAGCTCAAGAATTACTACTATTAGTTTTATTAAGAATGAATCCAATTTGATATATTTGTTTAGCTAAAATATCAAAATCATTAAAATTAATAATTAAAGAATCATCAACTAATCTGAAAAAGAATTAATTAATAGGAAGATTAGGACATGATTTCAGAAATCTATATTCTTGTAGAAAAAGAAAAATATTGCAAATATTAGTACTAAAATTATTTCCCATGGGGATACTTTTAATTTGTTGAAAAAGGCAGTGATTAAATAATAAATAATTGTTGTTGAGATTAATATGAACTAGAATTTCCAGATGAATTTGAAAAAGAATTTTATTAGTTGGAACGAAAGTATACATGTTTTCGAAATCAAAACAGTGTAAAGAATTAACATAATTTAAAGTTTTTTATGTATTTAAAACCTGTACTTTATTTTCAATATTCCAATTTAGGTGATTATTACTTTTAGTATGCTTATTAATTTCATTATGTACTTTTTTAAGAATATTTTCAAAGTAAATCCCAATTTTCATGTTACTATTAACGCCACTAGCTTATATATATAT